TTTTCCAGATCAAGCCTACTGTTGGTCTTTGGCCATCTTGCTTCCGTAAGGATTGGAATGAGGAAGTTGTCCTGGCAAGGCTACGCATTGGTCACAGTTTTTTAACCCATCTTTTTCTTTTATCAGGTATTGACCCACCGATGTGTTGCCATTGTGACACTCAAGTGCCGTCGTTACGATCATGAGCGACGGCATTATTTTAAACACATATTTTCTAAGAGTTTACCTCTGACGTTGGACAATGTCATTGGTAATGGTGACACTGTCCAATTAGATTGTATTTTTAATTTTTTACGCACTATAGCTCTTTTTAATTGTATATAAATCTTTTATCAACATATATTGGTTTTAACTCACTGTATTTTTACACTTTACTTTAATTCACTTTCACTGTTTTTACTGGTTGTTTGGTGCAGATAGCCTCGTTGCTTTGCACCATAAAATACAAAACAACAACAACAACAACAACTACTATTCTAGAGTAATCCTCATTTTCTCAATTGGCATTCTAGTGTATAAATGTATGTTTTAACTCACTCTCCATGTGGCTACAAAATTTTGATTGTGCTTGATCACAAATTTATATCAGTTTGGACTTCTTGTGTTTCTATTCCTTTGTATTAGAAGTATTTCATTTTTCTGAATTCTAATGTGTTTGAAAGATGATGTAATTCCCGTGACAGTAGACAATGGTTCTGACATGAGTCCCCATGTCTTAGGATCAACCATGTTTGCTAGGAAAGCACAGGCTTCAGTTTGTAGGGTGTTCTTGTCTTACATTCGGCCAACAATTTCTTTCTTTCACATAATGATTTTGTGTGAGGAGGGATATAAGTACTGAGTGAAAATTTCTTTCTATGGCACTTTCCACCTGTTACCCCACCTTCATGTAATCTCCTGGATTAGGTATTGTTCTTTTACCTAGGAGATTTGTAGTAAGTTTTTCAGCATGGATTCCTTACTCCCAGTAGGTATACCAATGTTTAGCGAGTTTATGTGTGGATTGACCTAATTTCTGCACATGATAATTTAGGTCTTTCATATCTTCTCTGCTCAGTATTTGGTAAGTTTGATTTTATAATATTTTTACTTTCATGTCCTTTGTCTTATCAGTTCTATGAGTTCTATATTTACATGTATTTTGTCTTCTAAGTTGTATCTTTGGTGGTTTTTGTACTTTGGGTGTTGCTTATTGATTTATGTATAAGTTAACTTTCATAGTTTTACGGTTCATTATTCAGGTGGGGTTTTCTGATCCAGTTGGACAGGTCCATTCTTAACCCTACTCAATCTCTTATTCATTTGGGTTTTTTCTTCCATTCCCATCTTTGTCGGGCTCAGCCTTCTCCACTTTTGCTCAAGGACATGGTGTAGGTGGTCTCAATGTCCCTACCTTCTCCTTTTCTCACTGCTGAAAGGGTTCTTTCTCTTTCAGGGATGTGGGCTTCCTTAGAAGATCTCATTCCCTTGGGTTCAGCTCAGATGCATTTCCTTCAGTGGATGCTTCTTGACAATAGAATTTCTCTCACAATCCCTTAGACCATCCCATTACTCTGGGATCAGGGCTGACTTTGCTTGGTGATTCAACACAAAACTGACCATGGTGGGGGGTTTCCACTCCTCCACCTTGTCTAGAGTCTTATCTGTTTACCAATGCTTTCTTGGTGGGTTAGGGGCTTTCATCGATTCCAAAGAGATTTCCAGTCGATGGTCTGTCAAGGAGGCTACTCTCCATTTCAACATCCTGGAACTCTTGGCAGTTTGTCGAGCTCTGTATCATTTCCTCCTGCTCCTGAGGGGGAGGGTAGTTATCATTCATTCCAACTATTCCACTGTTATCAGCTATATCACTAAGCAAGGAGGAACCAAATCCAGATTTCCGTGTTTTCAGATGCTGGATCTTCTTTACTGGACCCATGATTACTATATAGCGATCTTGGTGTGTCATGTTCCTGTTGTCAGGAATCTGGTGGCCGATCACTTATCTTGACCCAACCAGGTTCTTCCCAGTGCTCCCTTTTTCCACAATATTTTGGTTGGTGTGTTCTCAACTGGAAACACCACATATAAATGTGTTTGCCACTCACTGGAATGCCAAAATTTCTTCCTTTTGGTTTCTGATTCCATGCCCTTCAGCTCTTGGAGTAGATGCATTTACTCAGGTTTGTAGGGGTCTTCACTTGTATACCTACCTTCTGATCAGACTCCTCTCCAGAAATTTCCCTTCTCCAGACCATTCCTTGTTGTGTTCTGCTCATTGCTCCATTATTGGCCTGCTCGGACGTAGTTCTATCTGCTCTAGCCTTTGCTTGAGAGACATCCTCTGCCCTTACCTCTGTCCCAGTCTCTCCTCCGACAACCACAATATGCATACTTGGTTTTGTCCGGTCATTTGCCTCAGCTTATGGACTCAACCCTAGTGTAGCGTCTTTACTTGCACATACCTTTAAACCATTCACCGTGGCTTCTGCCCAACCTGTCCTTCTGTTCCTCATCTGTCCCAGTTCTTCACCTGGTTGTTTGATCAGGGTTTGTCTGTGTCAACTGTTGCTGGTTATAAGGCTGCTGTGTCAAACACTTTCTGTTCTTCCATATCCATTATGCCTTTTTTCTCCCCCAGTTATTTCCCTCCATTTCTTTCATCTGTTCCTTCCACCATATTCCTTTGTTTTGCTAGATTGGTATCTCTGTTTTCCTTCATGCCTTGTCCAGTTCTCCCTTTGAACCCATTGCAGTGTGTTCCTTGTACCATATTTCCCTTCGGACCTATTTTCTCCTCCTCCTCCTCCTGTTATAGGGTTGTCGTCGTTCTGATATTTATGCCATTAACATTTCCTGCATCTCTCATGTTATCCTCTAGCTGGATTGGGCCTTCCTTCCCAAGACATCAGCTGCCCGGGAAGGTTGTTTAGGTTGTTTCTATTTCCTTACCTTCCATCTCCCACCTGTACTCATGTTTGGATCCGGATTAACTACTTTGTCCAGTTCGTTCCATGCTCTATTATGTGGCTTGTACTGCCTTCTTTCATGGTTCTCATTCCCTTCTATTTGTTTCATGGAATTCCTTTTGTTCCAGTAATCTATTGCCTATTATGCTCACTGGTTAGGTTCATCAACTCATAGAAGATCGCCATTTACATAACGTTTCTCTGCACCATATTCGTCACTGAACTATGGCTTTAACTGCTCAGATTTGCCGTCATTTAGAGTACATTTGTTGCACATTATATGCACGACCTAATTGTGTCTTCCTCCTATGGGGATTCTACACACATCTGTTCTGGGGTAAGTCAATATATTATTAATTTTTTATCTTATTTAGTTGATATACATCATATTTCATGATCCAACATGGTGGTAGGTGTTGCTTGATCAGGTATGCTTAATATTATATTAACACTAGATCTGTGTATTTCTATAATGTTCACTGTTGAAATAGTGGACCACACTCGTTGATCTCTATATCTTATGCAAGGTGCTTACACTGGATGTTTTTTGCCCAGCTGGATCACACTTGGCATAATATGACATATCCTAAGGTGTTTCCCCTGGATGTTTTTTGCCAGGGTGAACTGCACTTGGCCTATTCAGATACAGTTCATGGTCCTTCAGCCATAGCCATGTTTAGTTATTTTGTTTTCTCTGGCACCGTGCCATGGCTTACTATCACTGTGTTTGGTACTATGGCCTGCTACATGTGTGATCATAGTATGACATATCTGTTGGCAACAGGCTGGTTATGAAAACTCTGAAAATCACTCTCATCTCTGTAATTTTTTTTTTTCCATCCTTCATATCCAAGGCACTTCCCCTGAATGTTTATTGTCTGGGTGGACTGCATTTGTTGATCTCATTTTCTTATACAGGGCATTTCTACAAGCCCATTTTTGCTTCCACACTAGACTTTTCATGTTTGTTAATGCTATGCTATTTCGAGTCATGGTTCTATAGCACTTTTCCAATGAATCGAGGCTATATGTCTCTATTTCTGAATGCACTGGTGCCTGCCAATTTAGTACTGCCCTCTTTTTGTTCCTGTGTTAGTTACTGGGCAAAAAGCATACCTGTCCCAGAAGTTGTATTATAACCCACAGGTGAGCTTTCTTTTCATATTCTTGCACACCTGTTTTTTCAATGAGGTTGCTTTCCAGTTAATTGGATGCTGATGTGCCTTCACTGGCCCCTATACCTTTGCAATGTAGGATTCTAGCTTTGGGTGAGAGGATGTAAGACCATTTTAGAAGTTAACATTTCCTTAAACTCTAAATGTATTTTCGATAGGTACTTACCTTCCTCACCCACTGACATGGCAATGTTTCTGGTTTATACCTGCCAATTCTTGAAAGTGAGGATTACTCTAGAATAGTAGAGGGAGCTAGCTACACTAGTATGATTGGTGGAGGGTAGTCACATGATCAGCACATGTTTGAAATGGCACAAAACTGATGAAGTATAAAAGACTAGTGTGCTGTTAGTGAACAATTTTAGCAATGCTTAAAGGGCAGTCCAGGATCAAGATAGTTTAGGATGAGAAGAGGTAAGTACATATTGGAAATACATTTTTAGTGTGAAAAAATGTTAACTTTCATCAGTAAAAACTTGCTTATGTACATTTACAACACAGCACAACTAATAACATACAATGAATTGGTCTGTGAGTGTTTCAGCTCATGCCATGATTATTCAGTATTCTAGTGTTATGGACTGTGTACTGAAATATATAAATTGTATATTAAGCTGAATCAAGAGTTTACTTATTTCTCATTTTCTCTAAAGATGCACGTCAGATGTGGTTTGAAGCATGCCTGTTACTTGTACTTTAAAATGATAAATCAACTATATTATAAACAATAGTTAATTCTTTGTTCTTTAAAACCATATTTTTATTCTTTAAAATATTTAAATAATTAATAAGTAATTTTAAGTATCAGTAGTTTTACACATTATTCCATTACCATGTTTTATAGAAATGAATTATTAAATATTTTGTTCCTATAAAGGGCCACTTTGTTTTAGCAGCTGACTGTGAAATGGAAAGAGAAAAATGGTTAAATATTTTACAAGAGGCAAGCAGAATGTGAGTTAATTTTTATATTAAAGATTGCAGTAACTTTGACATTATATGAAATTTTAAACGTTGCTAGATTTTTTGTTTTATAATGAAAATAAAAAATAAGTCTTCATGTTTTAACAGTTTTTCTGCTTATCAACAGTTCTTTTCAACAAAAATTCAACAATTGAAACTGAATTTCTTATTCAGATTCATTAATTTTTCGTTCTAATTGCTTGTTTATGAAGGAAGAGGATTATTATTTTCAGTTGTAAATGATACTGGCATATCACAGTGCATAAACATATCACAGTGCATTTAATAGTAAAACCTAACTCTTTACCAGAATTACTGACAAATAAGCACATAAGAATTATACTTGAATTTTTTTTATTCCTATGAATTTTTATCTGAAAAAAGAAATGAAACAAGTGCTTTGATTGATCTTTATTTTGGTTGATTCTCTTAAATACCAAGTCTTTCAGGAACAGTTTTCAACATTTTTACATTTAATTTACAATAATAAAAGTTAGGAAAAATGGATGTCTATTTGTCAGGGTTGCTCTTAATTGAGTCTGTTTTTTTATATTGTGGTTAGCTTAAAGTAGTTCTATCCAAGGTACTGTCATTCGATCGGTTAAAAATTTATGTTCATGAAGGTGTAAATATTAAAAATGTAATTTACAAGGAAATTTTCTAAACAACTTTTTCAATAGGAACCTAGTAGTCCTTAATTTTGAACCCTGGCTTGAAATACCATAACTATATATAGTTTGTCAAATTTTTGCCCCCAGTGGCACAGTGGTATGTTTGCAGACTTCTACTGCTAGAAATCGGTTTTCAATACCTGTGGTGAGCAGAGCACAGATGGCCCTTTATGTAGCTTTGTGCTTAATAATAAACAACTTGTCACATTTCAACATGTTCTATTAGCAGAATAATATCATTTGGGAAAATTGATGTCTGTTCATCCATTGTGTATGAATATGAAGAAGAGAAAAAGGAAATACACAAGAAACAATTATACGTATAGGTGTAATGCTTACTAATAGTAATTTGTATGGAACCATGTTAATTTCTGTGTGTGTGTTTTGTTAAAATCTAATAAAAAGCCTTTTTCATTGCAAAATTTTTCAATAACAATTTTAATATAATGCTGTAGGATCAGAATGATTTTTTAAAAGCCAATTTTTCAGAGTATTGCTTATATCATTTTATTTTTTTTTTATTTTATATGTTATTAAAAGATATGTTACATTTGCATGTTTTAAAGAAAATGCACATGTAATAAACATATTTCAATGTTTTTTTATTTGAGTTTTGAAGAGGTTTACTGTGTAATTTTGTAAAGTCTTGTTTACTAATTCAGTGTTTAGTTGAGTTCTGGGAATTCTGTTAACAAATGTAAAAACTTGGATGGCTAATTCAAATTTTTGAGAACACACTCTGTATCAACATTGCCAGAGATGGTTTTTAAGTTTTAAAATAACTTTTTGAAGGAGCATATCTTAGGGTCCAAATATTCGATTTTTTGTAGTTGGATAAGAATGCAAATTGAGTGAAATACCACACCTATATATATCTTTTTGGATTTCACCATATTCTGCTAGTGTGTATATAATTTGCATCATTGATATTTTTAAAGATCTACCAGAAAAGCAAGTATAATACCGAATTCTTGCTACTGTACATATCGTATATGTGTATGGACAGAAGTATATTGCCTTTGTAATGTAAAGTGTTTTTTTTTTAATAAATATTAGCTTAGTACAATTGATAACAAAATTGAAAGAAATAAACCTCAGAAATTTCATTGTCAAGTTTAATATCGTTTGTTGGAGAATTGTTCTGTGTCTTAACAGTTTACAGTTATACTTACTTTCCAGTATCCATTTGTGTGTGTTTAATGGACTTGTGAACAAACCAAAGGTGTTATCCTGACCTTTTCCATTCTGACTTTTGATACACCCCAAAAAGCTTAATTTCACATACTCGAAAACTTGAAACTCTGTGAAATCAACAGGAGCATCTTCCAAATGTATTAAAGCTTTAAAAAAGGAATTTTTTTGAAATTTCAAACACATATGAAAGTTTAAGTTTTTTATTGCATGTTTATATTATTTAAATCACTGTTCCATGAAGTCTTGCAGTTAGATATGTAACATTTATGAAATGTACTACATAAATTGTACTATATACAATTAATTCCCTTTACCTTCCCACCTATGGGTGTTACACAGACAAAAACAAACGTATAGGTATATTAGTAAGTATATTACTCTCTTTTGAAAAGTTTTAAAAATAAACAAATATATATGTGTGTGTATTAATATGTACCTCATGATATCTCATAATCAGTATTTGTAACATTAAAATGTATAGTAATTTTTTAACACAAGAACTTTGCCAAGTCCATCAAGTTGACAGTTTTCACTTTTAAAATTTAAGTATCTTTTTCTTGTCTGGTGGTTCTAGTGTGAATCACCTTTAATATACTGTAACTGTTTTTATGGAAAATTACAGGAAGTAATGATAATATTTTAAACACCAGTACCATTACAAGATATAAATTTACTTAACTGAAATGCTGAAAAAAATTATATCTGTCAGTATGAGCTTAAACTAAACCATTATTTGACAAAAGTGTTTTTTCTGCTTATAACTGGTGAACTACTAAATTGTTTAGCACTGAACCTTGGCCATCTGGGATGTATCATAGTGGAGGGGGGTGATGTCATTTGTTATGCCCCTCCTCCCCAAATGCCACCATATGGAGACCCATATGTCTTCCTCATCACAACCAACACACATATATATATAAATTTTAAAAATTGTATTAGGTACAAAAATTACCTTAGTCAATTGACTGTTCTCAATTACATCAAGTTTTAAGTTGTTTCTATTTGTAGACAAAATATCCCCAATTAGCAACTCTTTCAATAAGTACAAGCTAATGTTGGATTTTTTTCACTGAAGAGATAAAATAACTTCAATACTTCTGTGAATAAATTTCAGAACCTTTATATACTAATATACCATTTTATCCTTTTTATGTTTTATGTAGCTGCAACTATTATTATTAAAAAGACTTGAATACAATAAATGTTATGCTTGTGTCACATAATTAAGAAACATTATTGAAGATTAATAAATAACAAAATTAATTTATATTGTACAAGTACAGTAATGAGCAAATTTATTAGAACACCTCATTGCATCTGTAGTTTAATTTGTTGTGCATATTAAATAAAACCATTGTAGTTTCAAATGTTAGAAAAGGAATCAAAATAAGCAATATTTTGATTTTCTGACTTTATTCATAATTTAATATGCCATACTTTTAATTAATTTACAATTAAAAAAAAAGAAATGGCATCAAATGATTAAATGTTGTATGTTTGTTTAAAAAGTTGTTGAAGATGTTCTAATATAAATACAATATTCTCCTCCCTCTTCTTGACATTTGAATTCCAACATCAATTTACCTGCATGAAAAACTCAGAATATGAAAATATCAGATTTTTGTCAGTACAGAAACTGAATGAAATCATGTGTTTAATTTTGATAAGAAGCAATAAGGGATAAATTAACAAGTTTAAATAAAGTTTTATTTAAACATTATCATGTATCACTTTTTATCTAAACTGTTTCAAAACACTTCTTGTGCAACAACGCTCACTCGAGAGAATTAATATCCTCTGACATTCCAGAAGACCTTAGTTCTTCACTAAGCACTGTGAAAGGAATGTTGTATGTATAAAAAAATCAGTCCCTTGAAAAACTGCTGATGACACTAACAAGTCACACACAGGTAAAGTTTCAAAAAGTACAGCGTACTCATCCTACCTCCTGCTGGTGGTCTTGCTCTGCTTTCCAGATGGATATGCTTTCTTCACTTCATCTGTAGTCTACCTACTCTTCTGAACATACTTTGACCATATCCATGATGAGCCTGATTCGGCTGCTTCATTTGCACTGCTGCACAGTCCCCTCACAGCACTACTCCTGAATCCCAAGTCTTGCAGACACTCATGAAGTGAAGTTGCAACAAAACCTCAGCAGCCAACTTCAGACAGATAGCTTGCTCCTTTCCATCCTCTATCCTTACAAATAGACTTCAGTTCAACATATTTGGCAAACTTTCATTCATGAACTTCTTGGATATTATTCTCCCATGACACAGTCAGCTCACTGAAGATCACTTGCCGACCAGATAACAATATCTGGCCTGAGGCTTGTGACCTCAATTTCAGGAGGAAAATTTCCATCCCCTTCAAGGTCTGCTGATATCTTCCAGTCATTTGCACAGGAGAGTATGCTGCTTCTTTGTGGACTACTGCCATAAATCCTTGGCCAAAAACCCTCTTTGATGAAGGTGATGAACTGTCTGGAGCGAGTTGGTACCTCTTCTTCATTAGCCTTCTGCACTATGTCTGTGACTGCATCAACAATCACTCAGAGTACGTTGTTATGATGCCAGGTGTACATGCCGCTGGATAGATTTGACGTACACAAACTCAAGATATGCTGCAATGTTCCCTATAAGCATGACATAAACCTGACTTGTCATCATAACAAACAAGTTGGATGGCATGGGAAGCAACTCATATGTACAATACCAAAGGCTCCATCCTCCATAACACATTCCATGATAAAGTCCGCTGCTGTACAGATTCCCATCTTGTCAAAGCATTCTGTTTGGCTTGGCCAACTGCTGTGGCTAGTCTCTTTTCCTTCTCAGCTTCTCAAATCTCCTGAGAAACTAACTCGCATCACTCTTGGTCATCAGCAAATGTCCACCATTTATGACTTGACCATCCCAGACCATGGCACCCTACTTGGGAAGCTTCAACAATCTCCTTGTACCTAAGACTGGACTCAGCTTCATTTAGCATTTCCTCAGTAGTCCACTTTCAGCTAGACTTGACATCAGGTTGGGTAAATCTGATCACAGGATCTTTTGAGTTTCATAGAGTCATGAATGATCTTGCCTTGGATACCTTGAACTTCTCTACAAGAGACTTCACTGGTAACACCAACTTTGTGCGGCAGCTGTGTAATGCAACATTGTTCAAACAGCCAGGAACTCCCAATCATCTCATCATATACTTGTTAGTCTGGTGCTCCATCCCTTCTACATGGCTAATTACAACTTATATACAGTGAGCAGTCACATGATCCTTGGCACAAGGCCATACTGCAGACATCCAAGTTTCAACTTTCCTGGTAGATCACACTTATCAATTACTTCCAGACTTTCTGCCACCTGCTTAGCTGCCTCCTGAGCTCTCCTGGTGTCTCTCAGTTCCTCAGTATACCACCTTCCAAGGCTTTTCACAGGCTGCTCCTGGAGGTATGGAATCTCCTCGCCACACAGCAAGAAATGAATGTGAACCAGCTTCCACTTCCTTAAAACCAAACTCCATCACTTCTTGGTTTTAAACTTCATCCTTCCCCAGTCCATAAGATCTTTAAGCTTATACAAGATTGCCATTGCTTCCTCTTTGCTTGGGTTGAGTAAGGTCAAGTCATCCATAAAGGCACCTACCAGGGGAAGCTCTTCTCTTTCATGGAATGCTATCTCTGGACCAACTGTCTCAGCAGCTCTAATGATGACTTCCATTGCAAGGACAAACACAATGGGAGATATAGTACATCTCATTGGGATACCAACTTCAGGGTTCACCCAGCTGGTTGTATAATCTCGGATTGAGAACCATATTTGAACGTCCATGTAGTATCTTTCACCTTTTCAGGAATCCAGAGAAGGCCATAGTATACATGATTAATGCATGCGGTACAGATCCATGTACATTAGTAAGATCAAGCCACAACACACTCAGATCTCTTCACTGTTTCTTTGCTTCCTGAATGGTATGCCATATCATGCTTGTATGCTCTAAACACTCTGGAAAGCCTGGTATCCCTGCCTTCTGAACAGAGATGTTAATTAGGCCATTCTCTAGAAGAAAGGATGATATTCTCTCTGCTGTTATCCCAAACATGATCTTGCCTTCCACATTCAGCAGCGAAATTAGTCAAAACTGTCTGATGTTGCTTGAACCTTCTTCCTAAGGAGTGTACACTCCTTCAGCTTTATTCCATGAAGAGGAACATCATCCTTCATCCAAACAACTTTCAACAACCTCCAGATAAACTTCAAAAGTCCACTACACTTCTTGTACACCTTATACGGTACTCCATATATTTGAATTTTTGGACATTTCCCATTTTCTTTTCAATTTGTGTTTTTTCCAGAAAGGGGGTAGGCTTAATGAAATAATTGTTACTTAGTAAACAATCAAGTTTTAAAATTGACTTATCTTTTGAATTAACTTAGAATAACACACAGTTAATGTAAGGTATAGTAGGTTATTTTATCTTAAACACATCTTTTGTCATAACAAAATTTATTACAGTGATTTTCAAAATTACATGTAAAATCAAAAGTTTTCAACCAAAAGTATCCTTTTTGTGCCAGAAATAGTTATATGTATTTTGGCTTTAGCTTGATTTTAAACAATATAGTTCTGCATGTAACTGCAAAGTTTTCCATAGCTTGTATTTTCATGTAAAATTTTACCTTACATTATGTAATTTCATGGATTTTCAGCTAATTTTTCCCACATGTAATTACTTGTTAGATGATTACTTTGCATAAAACTACTCTATTCAGAAGTCTATCATGTCAAAATGTAAACTTGAGAGGATATCCATAATACAAAATTTGGTGTTGAGCCCACAAACTACAAGATTTCTATATATACATTTATCTAGTCGTGGATTTTCTCTTTAACACCTAACTTTGAATTTTAACAAATTATTTTCCTTTGAATGATGAATTTATTTTTAGCATACATGTAAGTAAATAAAGTTATTTTATTTTGTTTAGTCCCAAGAAATAATGCCTCAAATCTTTTATGTTCATTTAGATAACATAAAGATAGGCAGTTCTGAAAGATAGGCATAGATTTAAAGAAAAGTTTATTTCATATGTGTTATGACAGTAAAATATAAGTTTATTAGACTTGTATAAAATAAAGATCAGATTTGAATTTTATGGATTTTTGACTTATTAAGATGAGTTTGGAAAGACGTTTTATGTATTTGGGATTTTTAACCAGTTTAGAGAAATCCTGTTTAAATAGTTTCTTCAGTTGCTAAAGAAATTATGATAATTGTGGAAATTTATTATTATCAAGTTGCTAATAGCTATTAACAAAATACTTTTGCAGTTATATTTGATTTTATTCTAATTTATTATTAGTTAGTGCTAACTCTACAGTTGTCCAAACCAGATTTTACCTTGTTATGCATTAAATTACATCTTTTATTGAATTTTAATTGGTTTTCATGTGACTTTGTTTATTCTGTCTTTTGTATGGCTAATGGTTACCTTATCATATCTAGCATTTTCTACTGTCTATGTCTGTTTTATATTCCTCTAGTATTTTCCTTCCCTCAACCAAGCACCCTTTATATTTCATGAACATGTCATAATGAAAGTATACACCAAATATAGTACAGGGGCCCAAAATAAACATTTATTACATTGATATTCAAAATGTACTAACTGCTAATTAATTTTAAGATTGATTAACAAAAGCTGCTAATCAATTTTTCAAAATTAATTTAAGCTTTGTATTAGTCTGTTAATTATTATATTCATCCAGTTTTAAATGTCTGTTCATATGATACAGAATCAATTTTTTAATATTAATATCACACAATGTACTTACGAAAGTACTTTTGCTTTTCCTTAGATAACTGAAGCCCTTGACACTCCAGTTCTTTTATCATAAGCTCACTTAACTGAGAATTCTTCCATGTTCTGTAACAAAAGGTTGTACTATGTCCGTCACAGGTTTGGACCAGACTTGCTGCTAACACCTTGTGAATTAAAAAAATGGGATCTGCTTATTAGGACTCTAAAGATACAGTAGACACTTTTTTTAGCACATTAAGAAGACCTGATGTCCAACAATATGAAAAGACACCTAAGCTTGACAGCAGAGACCCAGTGTCTGGAAAGTTATCAAACAGCAGTGCACCCGATAGCTTAACTGAAATTGACGAGAAAGATAAACTTAGTGAAATCGAATTTGTCTGTTTGTCAAAGGACCATCAGTCAGTGTGATCACATATTAAGATAAGATAAAAAAAAATCCTTTATCATCATAACATAATTTTGATATTTTTTGTGATTAAAACTCTTGCATATATTTATCTTATGATTAGTTTAATTTCACTTAACCTAAGAATTCATTGTTATAGTTATGAAGTTTTAGCAAAAAAGTAATAAGAAGTGATCCAAGTCTGAAAATTACTGACAATGAAAATCTTCATTTCATTCCATGATGTTAGAAAAACATGTAGGTTCAAGAAGTCTTGACAGAAATAAATAAATACTCTATAACCCGAGCACTTTCGAAAGGTTCACCTTTTGAAAGCACTCGGGTTATAGGGTTTATATTCATTTCATTCCATTCAGTTTAAAATCATGATTGTATTCCCTTAAAACTGATTTAAAATGTGCTGCTGCTAAGGCAACTTTTGCATTTCTGTATCCAGCCAGTAAGTCACTGTCATCTGGCCAAAGCCGTGTGCGCAGAGTCTGAGCACAGTTTAAGATGTCTTCCTCAAGGTCACCTAGTCACAACAGTTTTCTTCAATAACAATGTAGCCTTTCCAATTGGCTTTAAACAATTCAAGACCCATCTGTAACAAAATTAGGTTTCACACCTTTATACATAACAGGGCTGAGATGGGATGTGAGATTTCAATGGCATCTTTTTGCTGTCCCATGGAAAGCCTGATACCACATTCCTTGACATGCTTTCCAAGGATTGTCTTCTTTGTTAGGATGTTTACTTTCAAAACTGCATTAAGGGAAATTGGAGCTTCATTACATTGGCATTTTGGATTGGAGGATTCTCTTTCCTAATCATAGTGTTTACTTTATGGGTGGTCCTTCAGTGGGTCAGAGTTATGTTTATGGACTTACACTGCAAATATCTGGTGTTAGATTCCCTAAGGTACATAAAGTATAGATAGCCCATTGTATAGTTTTGCACTAAAAAAACACTATGCATGAGGACATTACTCCATATTTGCTTGGGGTATGGTTCTGGAACCCATTGCTGACAGACACACTGCTGTGCAAGTTTTTCCACTTCCACAGATAACATTGAGAGTTCTCTTTCTTTGAAATTTAATGTATTTTGGTTTTGCATCTTTTAACACAGGATCTTTCCTAGCATCTCAGTGGCAGGGATCCAATATAAAAAATCTAGGATTTATTCAGTTTTGTTGAAACTAACATAGGATGTGTCATACGGTGATATATGTTGACTACAATTTTACAGTTTCTAAATTGGACAAAAATTGACCATACTATGACTGGTTGTGTCAACAGCAGAAATCCTGTAGTTAATAACTACTTATTGTGTAACCACTGGGTTTGCCACATGAGCCTTCTTCACCTGTTATTGCATCTGTTTTTCAGACTAGAGCCCAATATATCTTCAGTAGATAGCCCCAAGCCTCATTGACCCTGGCTGGAATGTTGCTACTCTGGCATGTCATAATCAATCACCATTATTTTCCAAGTTGCCTTCATGTGCTAAGTCACAAGATATTTGACTTGCAACTTATATGGATGCACACTGGACTTTTTTTTGACAGCCCTTGTTGAGACAAATTCATCTATTAAGCCCAAAGATGCTATGAAAGTGCTCAAAATAGGTTTGGTGTTGACAAGGACAGTAATGATAGTAGTAGTAGCTTTCAAAAGATGAAGAACAAGGTCTCCAACCTCAAACAGAGAATGAAGAAATGTTGCATAATTTGATATGAGAATAAAAAAAAATCATGTTTGTCAATGTTGCTGGTAATGTAGTGTTTTGTTTTTTTGTCCACTCTTAACTTCCAACTGAAATACATTACCATCATATGGATTACATTTTTGAAAACAGCAGATTCCAGACTTTCCAAATGGTGTGTGCAACACCTCCAAGAAACTATTACCAGAATTTCTTGTTCCTTGCTCTGCCACCCATAAACATTATTTTACCTCTGGTTGAGGAAGAGATCCTGTGTTAACAATATCATTACACAAATGTGCTTCCCTGGAAAGGGCTATGACATACTCATCCAACATTACATCATCTCTGGCAGTACTGCCTTGTTAATGATTAAGAATTTGCTTATATCTAAAGCAACATGCAAATCATTATACTAAAATGTGGAGACTGTCGATGTTAATAACCTTATATTTTATTGGAGATGTTCAAATTTTTAACATTAACTAAATATTAGATTAAATTTGATAATTAATTTTGGACTTTTTTTGCTAGATATATGTATTTTTCTTTATCACATACAGTGAATATGTTATTTCTACTTTATTTACTTAGATAAACTACAAGAGGAGACAATAGCCTTACGAGATGAAATAGATAAAAATGAGGTAGATTGTTTACTTTGCCTCTTTTTTTTTCTTTCTTTTTTTTAGATAATTAAGGTAATATTCACTGTCTTGTATTAACAGTATGATGCGAGGATAGGTTCACCATGTTCAAGTTCAATATTTAAATTAAAAATATTATAAACAAATTATTTTAGCAACTCTTGCTCATTTAAGAAAAAAATTCAGAGTTTAAATAAAAGTTGTAAATTTAATTTTTATTCATACAAAATTTTTTAATTACAAATTTTTTATTTTGGGTTGATTTCAATATGTTACAAACAAAAACATTAGTGTTTGTGAATTTCCTGAACAAAATTATCAATGTACAATGAATGAAAAGTTGAAATATATGAAATAAAATCAAAATTACCTTTTCTTTTTTTCTAGAGTGACTACAGATTGTAATATGCAGTTAAAATTATTAATCCTAAGAGCTTTAGACATCTTAACATTTTCACAATTGCTTTCATTTAACTTTATCGTTTTATTGTTTTTTGAGCCATGTATAACTAGCAATAACAAAGCAATAAATCACCCATCAAGAGACGGCAGCCAATTTGCATTCCTCCAAGTGAAATCACAAGAATTTTATTTCATTTTTTTAAAAGTTTCTTTATCTAATAATTTCAAAATTTTAATTATTTTTGTTTAAAAATGTATAACAATGAATAAAGAAATATACATAAAAACCAACAAATTTAGCACTTATTTTAGCCTGAAGTCTTTTGCACTCAGATTGTGGTTTAGTAAGCCTGTCTTTTTCTCACTATTGGTTGTCCAAAAATAATTGATATGGCTTTCTAACTAACCTATAAATAGGTTAAAAACATTTCTATTACTATTTGGAGTAATGTCTTTAGTCTAAACACATCAAGCTCCCCATGAACTATTGGCTTTTATTGATAAAACAAAATAGAAAATCACCCAGCATGGGCTTAATGTAAATAAACTGTTGAGTTACATCAAAAGACGGCAGCTGACTTGCATTCCTCCAAATGAGATCACAATAATTTTTATTTAATTTTTTGTCACATTTTTTCTTATCTAACCTAGTAATTTATGTAACTTAGAATATGCTTTTTCTATTGGTCATACACATGTCCATTAGCAATGTCAGAGAGTATCATACTTGTCAGTATCTATAGTACATATTTCTGATTGGTTGAACAATCTGAAGCCCTATAAGAGAAGAGAAAAAATTTTAAATGAGAACTCAGAGTATCACCTCATCAAGCAACTCCGAGGTGCAAATTGATAATTTATTTAAGTATTTTCTTTTAAAATTAAGAAATTAACCCTGTCTCTACAAGCATCTTTTTTGTGCATGTCATGAGGTTTTAGTGAGTTACATTCAAAATTTATTTAAGCTACTTTCTTTTCATGGCATACCAATAAATATTGCATAAAAACATAGCTAATAATTCATATGTTAATAATATACAAGTTTTAAATTCTTAATTTTATAAAGCAATATTTTGAAAAATCATAAATTTTCCCTTGTGTGAGAAATGTTACACTAGGCATCCCCTCTTTTCTAATTTATTTATCACCCCTCCATTAAGTACAAAATTGAATGTAAATTGCTCAATATAATATCATCATTGGTCAGACAAAGCATAATTTTCATGGTCTTCAATCTTATTTGGTTA